TCTTTCCCTCTTCCAAGAGCCGCCTCGCCGCCTCTCAACCGCTCCGCTCACAAATATTAATAGTCGCCCTTTCTTACTCTCGTCGCGGCCGATTACTCGCGACGTGGACCTCGCCGTACGAATGCAGATGCCGGTATCTTGTGCACGAACGGCTCTGTCGAGTTCAAGCGGACGTACGTATTACGCAGGACGTCATATAACCGCCGACCGCAGACATGATCCGCTGAGGCTGAGAAGCTGAGATCCACACGATGGATCACGATGGATGCGAACACGTATGACGTACGCAGGCGCAAATGCACCGCCGCGCCGGCCGCTTGCTACAGATGCTTTCAAAAAAAATTCCACAACATGGCCGAAATGCGGCTTGACCGGGCTAGAGTCCTAGATTTATCAGAGAGGCGCAACCGGTGTTACGCATTCTGATTCGCTGTTGTAATCACATGACTTGACAACCATGGCTGCGTTTCGTTATTCACTGTCAGTACTGACAATATGACGTCATAAAGTAGTACTGCAGAAGCGTTTTGAAATTGCTAATAGTACTTTTATGACGTTACAATATTGCATAACGAAACGGATTTAGTAGTACTTGGTAGGACTGTGTAGAAATAAATAATTTTTAAAATTTTGAATTATTATAATAATTATATTCATATCTTTGCGTGCTTTTTTTGCATCTACTTTATTCATTAATATGTCATAACTTTTTGACATTATTCGTTTCGACATCTAAAAAACAAATTTTTTCCTGATTTCCCATTTCGTTGAATTTCGCCATCTTTTTACTGCGATTACCTGACCTCGCCAGTCGCAGTAATAGAAATAGGAAGTGACGCAAAAATTTATGACGTCATATAAACGCAAAAGTATATTGGAAGTTTACTGCGATATATTTTGGAATGGCATGTGCAATTCTGCCAGTACTGACAGTGAATAATGAAACGCAGCCTAAATTGTGATTACTGATATTATACAGAAAGCCTGATTACTTATTCGTTAACAGTAGATATATATGCTTCACAATTATCATTTTTTTCAATGTTTCTTGAATGTAAGAACATAATACTGCAATCGTACCTGCAATTATACAATGTCTTATCTTCAAACATTTCTGTTTTAATTTACAAACTAGCAATCACAAATGACTTTAAAATAACTTCATTCCAAACAGTTGGAATACTCCATAGATTAAACCATATGAAATTCTTCTACGTATCATACAGAATTCTTTATCTGAGTAATGCAATATTTTTTTTAATTTCAAGAATAATTTTATCGAGAATCTTTACCATCGAGTAAAGTTTTATTCCGTTAACAGCAGTGCAAATTAAGAGGTTATGGTGATACGCAAAAGCGATTATAATGACAATTAATCAACTGACTTATTAATACATAAATATTCCCTCTAAAGAATTGATACGATTCATTTAAATATAATTTTATATTACTTTGTCTTATCTTGTTCGACAGTTTAAAGGAAGTTTCATAGCATGTCAGCCATGTTTAGTACCCTCCCTAGTACCTTTGTCATACTGACTTAAGCCGGTTGCGCCTCTCTGATAAATCTAGGACTCTAGGGCCGGTATTCATAGTCGGTTCTTATTTCAAAACCATTTTAAGTAATGTCTTAATACGCTAACGCGGCTCTCTGATTGGTTCATGACACCTCAAGGCTGAACTTAAGACGATCTTGAATATAAGAATTGACTATGAATACCGGCCTAAGTGACTATAGCTACGTTTACACCGTGCATTTAGGCCGCGACCTATACGATAGGTGTCTTTTATACAGTTTAATCTACAGGATAAACAAGGACATCTATTGTATAGGCCGCGGCCTAAATGCACGGTGTAAACGTAGCCAGTGGCCCTTAAAAAAGTCTGCACTATCGATCTCGATCAAGTTCGATAATCGGTTTAGCACATGATTTAGTACTGCTATTTAGTACAGACTCGCACCACATCTTTCTTCGACACAATGGGCGCGTTCAAGTTGACAAAGTGGCTAGCCAACTCGCCGAGCAAATAAACATAATTGATTGTTATTTAGATCCAACCAATCATATTCAATCGCTCGGTAAGCATGCATAGCCGCTTTACCGTCTTGAATTTGCCCAATGGGTGGTATTCAATGTCGGTTCTCATTTTAAGACCGTCTTAAGTCGCTAATGCAGCCCTCAGATTGGTTTATGACTTCTTACCCCGGATTTACAATAAAGTTTTAAGCCTTAAGAAATCGACGAATCATAATCGATTATTCTCCTCGAATTCGACTGTAATTGGTCAATTTCTTACGGCTAAGTCTTAAAACACTTATTGTAGATCCGAAGTACAGTCTTAAGAAGTCGTGAACCAATCAGAAGGCCGTATTAGCATCTTAAGACATTACTTAAGACGATCTTGAAATAAGAACGGACTATGGCCGGTATTCATAGTCAGATCTTATATTCAAGACCGTCTTAAGTACAGTCTTAAGAAGTCGTGAACCAATCAGAAGGCCGTATTAGCATCTTAAGACATTACTTAAGACGATCTTGAAATAAGAACGGACTGTGAATACCGCCCTATGAATACCGGCCAATGATTTTATCGTCAAAATAGATAGCTACGTAGTTTCTAAATAAAAATGGATGTATGTACATACTTGCGCTAGTGTACGGATGATTTTGACAGTTCCGCGAAAAACTTCGCAATGACCCCTCTCAGGTTTCTCTCTGATCGATGTTATCGACTGTCGCATTAGCGCGGATCGAATTTTACCGAACTATAAAACCAGCAATCCCCGGCGAAATGTCCGGATGATTCAAGAATGACGTTGGTTACCTTGGTGAATGCGTGAATGGCCTTATTGGCCTTTATTCTGGCGGTGCTCCTTCGAACGAGTGTGCTGTGACTCTTTTCACGTGTTTAGTTTTCTACAAACATTCGGAACGTCTAATCGAAAATCAACATGGTTGTGATTTCGTGGCTGCTTCTGCTCGTCAGCGTCCTAGAATCCTTCGCCGCGGAATGGAACACGCAGGATTATATGAAGCGAGAGCATTCTCTAATCAGGCCATATCAAGGTTCGCTAATTGTCATTTATCTCCTATCACACGCTCCTCGTATAATCCCAGGATTTGCTTGTTCATTTATTGTCTAGTCGCAATTTGCGGACATACTCCATTACGTTTGAGGTTACGAGATGACTAATTAATATGGAGAATTTATTTTTTTGCAATAGATAGCGGCGGAAGGAACCTCAGTATGTGTTTCTTAGCCATGTTACAAGATTAAAAAATATACATAGAGAGTCGATTTTTTTTCTTAAAGAAACGTGCGAACTCCAATTTTTTAATTATAGGTAAATTCCTTAAGAAAATCCTGTCGCGCCCAACGTGGAAGAAGTTATTGGTTCATTTATTATCTAATCACAATCTGCGAGTCATTCTACTACCGGTTTAAAATTACGACGTAATTATATTACAATAAAGTTAGTAAATATGCAAAAAATAAATCAAAGAGCTATTTTTTTAAAGGACGTAATTTCTATTTATAAGTTGTAGAACTTATAAATTTCTTCCTGAAGATTAATAAACACTAATCAAAAGAATTTTCGTGCAATATGATACTGAAAATATTATTTAGAGAGAAAAGGTTATATTATAATGATAAACATGAAATTTTTGAATAAATAATGTAAATCAGACGAATATATTGATGAAAGTCTCAACATGAAGTTTCTAATGTATTTTTTATTATATATATAGTTAGATATATATATGTGTGCGTGCATGCATGCGCGTACGTGTAAAATAGGCATAAATTAATTGTTTGTGATATTAACCACAAGTTTATTTATCAAATCTGTCTTCTTTCATATATTTATATAATATAAATACAATATATATTTATAATTAAATGCTTTATTTTATTTATAAAATTATGTTTGATATAATAGGCACAGGTATGACGATACCTAACTGGGACTTTATGGGAAGTACAATGGTAACTAACAATTATATCAGGTTAACACCTGATTTACAAAGTAAACAAGGTGCCTTATGGAATTCTGTGGCAAGTATTTCATTTATATTTGCAAATGATTTCTTAGATGTATATGAAAACTTTTTATAAACTTCAATATAAAAACTATACATATGTATAATTATACATATATATTGTTTACCAATTAAGATTTTTAAACTTGTCGTGTTTACAGCCATGCCATATACGAAATTGGGAACTGCAAATTCAATTTAAAGTACATGGAAAGGGAAAGGATTTATTTGGGGATGGTTTTGCTATTTGGTACGCCAAGGAAAGAATGAATCCAGGTCCAGTATTTGGGAGCCGAGATTATTTCCAAGGATTAGCAGTGATACTTGATACATACAGCAATCATAATGGCCAACATAACGTAGGTTGAACACAGTTTTATTAAGTGTGATTATAGTTTGTACAATCAATTAAGATCATGTAAATCTTTGAATATTTTTAATTAACCAGTTAATTACTGTAATTAAAATATAAATAATTTACATTTTTTATATCTTGAATTTTTTTTAAATTAAAGTTTTTTATATATTTGTCTTTATTTTTTTACCTTATTCTATATTTTCTTTTGATACATAAATAATAGAATATATCTGCAACAGCATCAGCATCCTTACATCTCAGCAATGATTAACAATGGATCTCTGCATTATGATCACGATCGTGATGGCACTCATACACAACTTGCAGGATGTGAAGCAAAATTCAGGAACTTGGACCGTGATACACACATATCTATAAGATACGAGAGAGATACTCTAACTGGTACGTAAAATTAAATATTAATTTTTATTGCACCTTTTATGTATGTATTACATGAATGTATTATAAAATTGTTAAGCTGTAATATTTTTTTATTCTTATTCATTGTTTATACTTTGCCCTATCACATTAGATGGAGTGTTGTATCCATCCTTCGTTTCCTATTTTCTTATTTGTTTTATTAATCTTTTATCAGCTTTATTAATCTCTTTCTTGATTTGTAAATTGTGTGTGAGTGGGTGTGGATGTGCGCATGCGTGTTTGCGTGCGCGTGTCGTGTATGTGTATGCATGCATAACAATGACACATATATGCGTGTTTACCGATTAGAATTACACATATACACATATCCTCATAACTCCATATTTCTTATAATGTTTTTTTTCTTATCACAATGAAGTTTCAACGGATCTTGCCAACAAAGCAGCATGGAAGCAATGTTTCCAAGTGAATGAAGTTAAGCTTCCAACAGGATATTTTATTGGAATTTCTGCTACTACGGGTGATCTGTCTGATAATCATGACATATTGTCAATGCGTTTATTTGAATTAGACTTAATAGATGATGTAAGCATTAATTAATTTTTTTATATTTTGTTAAATATTATATTAATATGTGAAGCACATATCTTGTTAGCTAATAAAAATATAAACTATTTATAATAATTAACAAATTAACGAGATTTAAAAATATGTCAATTTGCAGCCTAAAGATCGAGAAGACAGATCACAAATTGTGCCATCAGCAGCGTTCTATGATGCACCAAGAGGTATGCAATTAAACGAGATCCTATTGTACATGTATAGAAATTTATTTACTATTCTAATATCAATTTCTGTTTTCAGAACGTATAGAAGATCCGAAGCAATCTAGCTGGAGTGGAATAAAACTTTTCCTACTGATGTTATTTGGTGCACTTGTATTAATAGTCTGTGTTGTAATTATAATTATGCTTTATCAGAAGCATCAGGAAAATAGCAGAAAGCGATTTTACTAAGTCAGGATTTAAATAGTGTGTGTGTTTTGAGTGTTGCAGCTTATCGATTTCTCCTTTATCCAAGATTTCTCATATATAAGATTTAAGTTATAACGTACTATGAGACTGTCCGTATTTGGTTTCTTTGCTTTAAAATTAGTATAAACCTTTTCTTTTTTGTGTGTAAGAATAAAAGTCTTTGGGGTAAAGGAGAGACATGTATATATGTGTATGTAAGTTCTGTAATAATTCCATATTTACAGAATGTTACTTTATTGGATTAATTGTCAATGTCATTGATTGGTCTCAATGTACATTTATTTGATTTTACAATAGTCAGTAAAAATACATATTTATTACAGTTTCTTTACCAAAGTTATTTCTTCTTGAAATGAAGCCACATGGAATTTAACAAAATAAGTTTTTATATATTTGACCTCTAAAAATTTATAGAATGAGACGACGTAATGAATGTATTGTGACATATACATTGTTAACTGTATTTTAGAAAGGTCTTGGAAAAATTTTTATATTATATTAATTTCAAGCCAAATGCTCATGTAGACAAAATGTTTGTGGTAATATATCCAGAACTTTTTGTTTAGATTGGAACAAATTGATTCTAAAATCCAGTGATTTTAATTATTTAAGAAAATATAACATCACAGATAAAAGAGATTGTTTAAGGATATAAAATATAGAAATACTGTTTAATTTCTATTAATGCAATTTTCTTGCACATTAAGTGATTATTTTCGTATACAAATTATATAGATACAGAAAAGACTTTATTAACATAGATTTTATATTTGTATATACAGAAAATTAATGTATGCGAAGCTCCCATACTGCATAAAGTTTGTGATAGATTATTTGCAGTTATACATGCAACTCTAAACAAACTGTTAGCCATATAAATTATGCTGTGTTAGAGTAATGTCTAATATTGCATGAAAGTACATGTAATATGGGGGATTCTAGTGTATTTCAGTATAAAATAATTACATAGTAAAACTCTGTATTGTAATTCTTTTATATGGAAACTAAGAAAAAGGGAACCAAACCGTTTAATAAACAATTGTCTTGTTATCGACATGATGTTATCATTCGAAACAATAATGTATCATGTTGCCAAATACAAAATAAATATGTCTATAATTCTAAAGAAAAACAGGTTTTTTGTTTTTTTCACAGAAGAGAAATACAAGGTATCAAAATTCATTACACAAATGTATTGGAATAAGATATTTTGAATTTTATTTTTGAATATATATTATTCATGACAAAAATATACATTTGCACCTCAGAATGCAATGATTTTTCATGATCTTTTTAACGTATTAATTCATTTGTTTGCTTTGAAGAAGCAAATAGAATACTTTTATTATCAACATTAAAATTATTCAAACAGAAAACACCAAGGCACATCTATGTCTTATCTCTTTGCTACTGTACTGGTCTTGGTTCCTATTGTCGTTGTGTGATACATTGACGAAACTGCCCTTAATTCTACAGATAGATATGCATTAATAATTTCTCGATCTAAACACTTAACATTGATATACAGAATTATTTGTACACACATACATATATATTTTTTTTAGTATTCTTTAAAAGCTGCATTATTCAGATAACTGAATTGTGAGATATCTAGCGTATTCTAATATAATGTGTTGTAGTATATGACACTGCACAAAATTTCTTATGAAATAACGTATTTCTATTAATAAAATAATAGCTTACTAAATAATTTTACTAAGATTATTTACATTACATGTTGCATACTGCCTTGCCATTAAACTAATTAAAACTTTTATCATGATATAATGTATACTATAAACCTAGTAAGAAATACAATGTTTACTATATACGATATTAAAACAAGATCAAAAAGACGTCATTTCTTATTATTTTCCGAAAATGGAATACAAAAATATCAAGCATTTCTCTTTCTTTTTTACTGGCAGTAATGCTTAGGAAAATATATAAATCTTAAAAAATATATGTTTTATATATAATACTTTGAAGCAGATTATGACTTGTTCATAAAAGCCTATAATATATCTGTTAATATACATACACATATATATACATATACATACGTATATATATGTATATAGTATAAATATATTTTTTGTGTATGTATATATTGTCTGAGGCATTTGGTAACATCGAAATATTTGCACTATTCTCTACTTTCATATCACACACACATTTACATGTATGTCAAACATTGAAGAAACGCTCTGCTTCATATATATAATAGTTTCTTATTTAGTTCAATTCATATCATATTTAGCATGCTGTTGTTTACTTTAAAATTGTATTTTTTAAATGTATTAACTATTTATCCTTTCTTTTTCTAGATTTTATTTGTCCAGACTAGTAATTCTAATAGTAGTTTATTTTTTCTTTAATATATAAATCATATTAAACAAACTGTAATAATTAGATATCGAAAAAATTTCACTACATTGAGTTTAAAAAGCTGAGATCTAAAAAATTCAGTCATATATAGAATGTCATCACTTGAACATCACAATCGGATTTAACAGAAAATTCAATACAGTCTTTACGCTGAGACAAAGATCTCTGATAATAGAGCTTAAACTTATACGATACCTATAACGTTTATAAGACGTTTTCAAATCAAGAGAATTACATGCAAGACAACCTACCTCTTCCAAATCGATGTGCAATTCAGCGCCACCGAGAAGAGATTCTGTTTCTAAGTCATTATTCAAAAGCGCGCCAGAAAACCAAATCTTATCGCCTGGATATATATTCAGACTAAAATTGGTGAAAGAATGGTCCGCAACGAGACGTATTTCCGTGGTACTTCCCCATATGCCGCTTTTCATCTTGACAAATATCTCAAACTCGTATTGATCCCAAGACGGAAAATAACATTTGTTTCTTTTCTTTTGAATGTTCGTGATGTGCTTGCAGTTTTTTCTGCGAGTGTCATCGCCCGAATTACAATTTTCCTCGTACGGTTCCCCATACATACAACTAACTATTGTTCTAATATTATTGGGCAACTTGTTTAATACAAATGCAATATTGTTCTTTATCGATTTTACTCTAATATTTGTCACATAGCCTTCCCACGAGACGGGTATGCCTTCCAATTGAGCACACTGCACCTGGATTTGCGCTTTCGACGATTCTTCCCACGCAGGTTGATGACAGTAGTTCTGATACTGATCCCATGTTAAGGTAGAAGCAATGTCATACGCCTCATCGGAATCCTGATTGTATTCTATTATCATCGGCCACGATAAGAATGTCGCAGCGCTAACGCCAAGAACAATCTACAGAAAACATTTATATAATTTTATATACGAACAAGACATACATAAACATTATAAATACGTGAAGGATATCTAAGTCGAAGACGAAGAAATGATAATATACGTACTTGCATGAGCGTAATGATCCAATTAAATCTTGACGTTCTAGTCTTCCTCAGATACCACGAAGCAAAAAATGGCATTCCTCCGAGTACAGTAGTAATCGCTATCCTCATGGCCAAATCATTTTCTGACAAGTATTTGGCAATAGCTACGATTGGTAAAATGATGGAAGCAATACCGGCGATTGGAAGAAATAGAACCATGCCAACTAATGCGAGAGCGCCTCTTATCAAGCCGTACCATGTTGCACCTTGAGAACTAAAGATTGCTATTTGCCACCAACTCAGAGTAACACAATGGGGTATTAAAATCCGATATGTCCCGCGCCAGCCATCCCTCGCAGCCATTTTCGCAAAAACCGCCGGTATCAAGAGGTAAAATACAGCGCGGAAATTTAGACAAAACTCTATACCGTTGCCGACAACGTAAGATGCGAATGTTGGCACTCTGATGTCCAAAAATCTCCAGCTTTGCGCCACAACCATATCCGTCTCATAAGGATACTTAGCAAGTACATGCACGCCGAAGCTGAAGAGGGCTAGAAAATCGGGAAACCGCGAAGAGTCTCTCCACGTGAAGCTACACAGTGTGATAAGAGTGAGCGTGACTGCTATTATAGTGATTTCAGATTGTGGAGTCCATTGGTGGGCTGTCAGAGGATAGATCATCAAGTTCAGTAGCAACGCGAGAAAGAAATGTCCATACGGCTTTAGATTGTTGCGGCAGAATTGATACTCCGCCTCCTCAGGATTCAGATTTCCGCCTGAGTAACTAAGAAATAGGCCTGACCACACGCGGAAATCATTAAATTCGCGTTTCCGTTGAAGCATTTGGAAGGTGGCCACCACCATAACTACAAACGAGAGATAGTAGAGAGCCATTGGTATAAAAAGTATTAGACTTTCTGTGCCGAATAAGGAGTACAGTAACAGTAACAGGAGAATATGTAGATTTGATGTAAAGAGAACTCTGTTGATTGACGTTCCTCTGTGACCCAGAGTCTCGACCAACCAACTGTAGAAACGTTTCAGCGACGCAAACGGATGAATAAATGGCCTCTGCAACAGCGGTATCGTATCCAGCACCAATTCGGAAGGATCCACCATGCAGAGAGCATGTGACACTATTGGAAGCATTCCGCGTGCGTAGCTTGCAGCCGCAGACACTAGAGCAGCCTCTGTGATTTTTTCACCTTGGTCCGTCCAACCTGTGATTGAATAGCAAAATTTACATTAAAAATGCAATAAAAAAAGTGATTAAAAAAATGTGACAATCTCAAATAAGAAGGGTCAAATACGATCAAGACTAGATTTTAGGACCTAATATTTATATGTAAATTTTAAATACATCTTCTAGTTATAGAGAGAAACTGTACGCCAATTATTATCAGACTTGAAATGCAATCAAACTCAAGTTGAAATAACAATTTCACAAATTAATCGTCAGTTTAATAATGATGTTAATAAGCACCTTAAAATACTGCAAAGACTTTTAATCAGGATAATATTTTTTACAATAAGTTTAAGATTGCGTTTTAAGTTCGACAGTAATCGGCGCATAATTTATATAATAGGATGTGTATTTAAAATTTTTATATAAATATTATTAGGTCTAAGATCTAGCCTCAAACTCATATTTGATCTGTCTCTATTTTATGTTCGTAAAGCAGTCTAGTTTAACATATTGTTGAAAATCTCTTTTACCGTGAACGTCGTTTGTTCGATCTTCATCCTTCGTAGGTAAGGAATCGTCAGGAAGTCCATTTCTGGGGAAGCAATCATTATCGTCGCTTAATCCCTTTTGCGATGTGTTGCTGGAGGTATTGTTCGAGTGAAAATAATCGGCATTACTGATCGATGGAGACGATAAATTCCTCATACGTTTTTGTAGTTGCTCAGTAGTTATGAAGTCCTCACCGTTCGATAAACTAACGAAAAAACAATTTTATATTCATGTATACAACATGTGGTATTTATTTATTACTTTTAATAACTAATTACTTGTTCTTTACCTCATAAACATCTCCCTCGCCGCTCTTCTAGCCAACTTCTCATCCTGTGTCATGTCTAGACAACTTTTTACGTCGTAATAGTTATGCTCCGTAATACCACGACCAGTTGCCAAGCACTTTCTGAGAATATCAGTCGCCTCTAAATTTCCTTGTTCCGAAGCCTTTGTCAACCAGTAAACACCCAATTTTTCGTTCTCCTCTTTATCAACGTCAAGCTCTTGAAATATAATTAT